CGCGGAAAGCCTTTAGCGCGCCCAATCCGCGGCCCTTTAACATTCCGGCCAAGCCAAAAGCTGCACCGCGTCGCCGGGCGTAGCTGGGGGCGTCGAGTGTATCCTTCAGCAAACGCTCCACAGCTGCAGCATGGCTGGCATCATCAAGACGCCGCGCCAGCGGTGGCAGACATTGACCAACAGCACGCTGCACGGGCTCCGATGGCGTCGCTAGCGCTGCAAGCAGACGTTCCACAGCTGCGGCCACGCGCGGCGCCTCGTCGGCTGGCAAATGCTGCGCCAACCGTCCCAGTAACACTATGACGCCCTCGCGAACATGATCTTGTGTCGCAGTGCCACGGTCGCGCTCGGCGAGCACGCGCTCCAGCAGCGGCAACAGATCGCCAGCCCACTGCGCGCCGTGGCTCTCGGCCACCTGCACACCCGCTGCCAGCATGCGTACGCGTACGGGCTCTGCACGCTCGCCTAGCGCACGACCTCGCACCAAAAACCGTAACAGCGTCTCCGCTTGCTCTGCGTTCTCCAGCAGTGGCGCCACATGGCAAAGCGCATCTGCGACGCCAACGCGTGCGTCGACGGGATCAGTGCGATTCTGCGTTCCCGGCACAACAATTCCATACTCATCGTAGTCAGGCTCGAGCGAGATATGCCAGTGTGCGTAAGCATCCTGGAGTTGCTGCAACGCATCGGCTACCGCATCGGACTCGTCTACATCGCGCACAGCTGCCGCAAGAGCTCGCGCAGCACAAGTGCGCAGCTCCGCAGACTTATCTCCCAAAAACGGTACCATTGCTGCAATCAATTCTTTCTGTGCCTGCAACCCACTGTCTTCCCAAAGCGCTAACGCTAGACGCGCGTTTTCCTCAAGCGCTGCATCTCCAGTGTCAACACCGCCCGTGTTAAGCCACAGGTCTGGTACGCTCTCCACAGCAGTAAGATCAACATAGTCCAGCGCCGCCAAACATGCTGCACGTACGGCGCTGTCAGGGCGCGTCAAACCCGCCAATAGAGCGTTGTACTCGTTTGGTGTGTCTGTGCCTTCCATGGCGGCTGCCAGCCGTTCAAGGCCAGCTCGGCTTGCAGGCAGCAAGGTAGGGTGATCAGCCATAAGTTGGATCAGCAGCTCTATCATTTCACGTCGCGGAGCTGCGGAAGTGCGTCCTAGAGGCGCATGTGTGGCTACAATGTCTGCCACCATAGCGAGCTGCTCGGCTGAGGGGTCAACTTGCGCGTACTCGTCGTGTTCTTCAGGCCCTTTAGATGTGCGCTGTCCCCAGCCACCCGCATCCGCCACCGCTACTGCAAAGGGTAGCACAAATGCAAAACCTGCCGGAGGCAGCGGCGACGCGGCGCTTCCCACACGCAGCCGGAACAGCAGACGGGTGGCCAAATCCTGCATGGTCTCTTGCATCCAGCGAGCCGGAACCGCACTCTCAAGCCCGCGTGCCCGCAGCAGCGCCATTGCAAGCGGTGTCCGCAACTCCGGTTCAAGGCCCTCTGCCGCTTCGCCAATCGCCTGCAGGGTTGCCGCAAGCTCGACCCCTGCCAGCGCCACGCTTCCGCGCCCGCCGTCTACAATGGCACGCCCGACAACTGCACGCACCAGCGCTGGCATGTGCGCGGCAGCCACAATAAGACTGCTAGAGATCACCGCACGTGCCAGCGCCAGACCGCGCTGTAGTCCGTGACAGGCGGCGTCCACACGCTGGCGCACTTCGCGCTCCTGCGCCTGCTGCGCTGCGACCAGCTCCTGCTCGGTGCGGCTCAGTTTGGGAGCCTGGCCCTTGCGCTGCGCCGCCTCGCGTTGCATTTGCTCCACCCACGCATCGCCCTTCTTTGAGTTGGTGGCGCCAGCGGCCTTCTGATTAGCCAGCGGATCAGTGTGCAGCTGATCGGGCGGAGTCTGCCACACTTGCACATCCTCGGCACTGATTGCTGCCAGCGTTGCAGCGTCGATAGCGTCATACGCGTCATTCAGCAGAAGCGACGCCGCGTTGTCGTTGCCCACCAAAACCAGATCCTGCGCCAGTCGCGCACCAGCCGCAAACTCCGCAGTGTCGGCTGCACTTGACATGGCTTGCCGCACCTTCTGTAGCAGTTCAGCCTCGTGCGCGTCGTAAAGCGCTGCAGGATCGACCCCAGCGCGCTGCACCAGCGCAATCCACAGGCTTCCGCCCGCCACCTGTCCGACAGCCGGATGGTTGCATGCAAGCGCTAGTGCTACAAGCACGCGCACTTTGGAGGCTGTATCGCCTTCGCTGTTTATGGCTCCCGATGCCGCCGCGCGCAAAATGCTTGCCCAGCTACCTACACTGCCGCTATCGCTTTGATGCGCTGTGCTCATTGATTCAAAAATACGCGATCCCAGTACATTCCAAAGCCGCTCGGCATCAGTGCAGCTCATGTTCTCCAGCACAGAAAGACCTACCTGCGCGATTTCCCGCTGCGCGCTTGGATGATTGCGAATTGTCCACAGTAGTAGATCAGCTAGACGAGCGTCATCGTTGCCGCTGTCAAACAGCAGCTGAGCGCAGCGCAACAGCCATACGTATTCGCTAGTGCGTGTAAACCGGTGGTATACCCTATCCCACAGTATCAGCGATTTTTCCACGCACACGGCTTTGACCAGCCCGGCCACATCAACCCCAGATGCCTCCATAGCTGGCCGCATGCGCAGTGCCAACGCCATCCCTACATGCGCCTCGGTGCTGCCGGCCAGCGGACTGCTGGCTGCCTTCTGTGCCTTCGCTACTAGCGCCTGCAGCACTGGCATAATGTGTGCGCCCATCCACGCGTGTGCGTTCACGTCGTGCTTCTCTGCCCACGCCCACAGCGGCTCGCCAAGTGTATCAGCCACCCAGCCCAGCCTAGCATTGGCTGCTCGATCGGGTAGCGCAAGTCCCTTTTGGGCTGCGGCAGCAAAATCCTTTATCGCAACCACGCATTTTTCATACTCGGCGCCGCCGCTGCCCTCAGTTGCAACCAGGTGCTCCATTATCACACCCACATGCGCGCCCATTGCCACAAACAGCTCATCGGTCGCCTGTGTGTCCTTTGTAGCCATCTTCTCCAATGCTGTAAGAATCACAATCGACGACGCCCATCCGTTGCCAGGCCCTGCACGCACATTGCGCAGCACATTGTAAACCACTGCACGCTGCTCTGGTTGCGGGTAGCGTCCAAGTGTCAACGGTTTGGTAATCTTTTCCGTTGCCTCCACTGCTGTTGCCTCAGTTGACGGGGTGTTGGCAAGATACGTAAGCAACTCTGCTGCGCTCTTGCGTACCTCGCCGTTACTCCCCCCAAGCAACTTCCCTAGTGTATCTGCAAACACCTCTAGGTACATAGCCGAAAAATCAACATTGCTCCTACCCAGTACTCGCAGCAGCCACAGACACGTCGGCAAAACAAACTCGGGAGACCGCAGCAGCATTCTGCTGATTGACCCACGAAACTTATTGTCAAAGTCTGACCCCACATACTGCTGCAGAAAGCATTCTAGATCTACAATACTAGAGTACGATACCGGCCGCTTAGAACATATCAATACGCGGTCAATATAGCTCAAAATCTGTTCTCTTGCATCCGAAACAAGCTTGGCGCCGCTGGGGTTTCGATGTGCTGTGCTGATCACATTGCCCAATAGCACCGCCGCTGATTCGTTATCCTCTGCTGTAAGTATTTTAAGCATCGGTCCGATGACGGCTGGTGCCTCGCGTACCATGCGCCAGACTCTGCGGTGTGCCGTGTGCGACATTGACAGCGTCTTGCTGTCGGATTGCGGTTGTGAGAGTGCAATACCCCACAGCAGCCGCGCCTCAAGCTCAACTAGCCGCTTCCAGGCTGCGTCTGCAAGTAGTAGCTCCTGCTGTTGCTCCTGCTCGCTTCCGCCTACTGCTGCCGCATGTTTGCCGCCCACAGCTATTCCAATTGTAATCCACGAGTGCAGCACAAACCGCCCTGCCATTGGCGTTGGAATCAACTTTGGATCCACAACCTTCTTGGGCTGTAGATTTTCCACAAAAGGCTCTGCCACTGTCGCAAGCGCCTTGACAAACGCCTCTGGCCTCTGATCGCCCAGTTGCTTCAGCACCTCCAGCACTGCAGCCCTCGACTCTCTGTCTACATAAAGAAGAGCCGTCTTCTTCAGCAGCAGAATAATTGCGCCCAGCTCCTTGTCTCCCGGTGGATTCGCTGCCACTAACGCCTGTAGTTCATCTCTCAGCACTGCGATTCTTTGTTTGACGCTAGCCGTCGTTATCTTCTTGGACAGTGAGCTCAGCTGCTCCTTCCATGAGAACTTTTCTACCTCATCAGTATTGCTGCTCATCCTCTGCTTATTTCACTCCGCACGCTGTTTTTCTGGACTGCTTACGCACTTCTCTATCTCTTCTTCTGTGTTGTGTATGGAGTTTGTCTCGATCGCAGTTTTTGCTAAAGCTTTTAAGCATATACCCCTGCAGCCTATAGTACCTTTAAAAGCTAAATAATTTTATCAATGATATTGCTTGTATACAAAACTGTTGCGTATAACAAGACTGCCACGGGATTCTCTGTTTTATGAATCTACCTTTTCAATCGAAATAAAACCTGGATTTTCTTCCTTTGGTGCAAGCTAAAAATATATATATATATATATAGTCGCGATAATTCAACTTAAAGGAAGCTATCGGAAAGAGAAACTGCTGTTGAAAACATTTTGTTGCCTTTTGGTTGTCCTTTGTTTCTTACAGTCCTCTGTAGTCACTGCGGCCACTGCGGCCACTGCGGCCAGCACACGTGTATACCCATCTATTTGCTCTAAAAGCTTTGTTGGGTTTTTTTTTTTCGATTCTGGCATCTTGATCTTGACAAAACTGTGGCCTCCACACTTCTTGACGCATTTACCGCAACACTCAAAATTAACACTAAAGCTAACGCACTGTAAATTTTTGGTTGTCTTGTCTTATACACTTTTAAAAATTGGTAATCAGCAAGTAACATAATAGCTAGCTGACAAAGGGGTTATAGCTCAGTGGTAGAGCGCGTGCTTTGCAAGCACGAGGCCCCGGGTTCGATACCCGGTAACTCCATTTTTGCTTACATTTTATATGTTTTTTTTTTACAAAAAAAAAAAAGTTAGTTTAGTTTTTGCGCTGCGGCATCCATTCGCTTTCTGGTATGCGACATGCCCATAGAGGAATTGCTTTTTCGCTCAGCTGAATTCCTGCCATTATACTTTTTATCTGCTCGACGTCTTCTGCTGGCATTTTATTTTTGGTTTCTTGTATATCTACTCTAATAGGGTGATGCTGCTCTTTTGATTTTAAACCAACTTCATTTGTTTCGACACTGTCCACCAGATAATTTGTTTGATTTTCTTTCTTGTCGCCTGAGTACCTCTGTTGCCTCTCCTCAAGCTCCAAAAACAGGCGATCATCAATTGCTTGCTCTAGATCTGTGGAAAAGCGCGCTGCCATGCTTATGTTGGCATACTTATTTCCTTTGCAATTAAATGCATCGTCAAGATCATTGACTGTTGGATCCAGCTGTGTGCCGTCCCCCAGAGCTTCTACATCATCGCTGAGCTGCACATATTCGTTCTCTGCAACAAATAGATCTTCCATATTATCCTCTTCGCTACTTTCCACACTAGATTGTGCTTTGCTTCCTGGTGGGCTGCAAGATGTCTCAGAGTTTAGTACTGCAGGAAATTTTGGCTTCCTGCTTGCTAATTTATTTGAACCCGCGTCACCTGCAGCACTATCCATGTTGTGATGGCTATGAATAAATACCAAGATAATGTACTGGAAAGTAATGGGCAGTTAATGATGATGAATTGTATGTATTATAGTTTTAAATACTAGGAAAAGAAGACACTTCATTTGGAGAACAGTTATGGACCATAAAACCTGAGAAAGTAGCGAATTGTCATCCCCCAGCGGTGATTACCAGCTGCCAGCTTTATGATATTTCAAGACCATACAGCCAATAGTATAATTGAACATCGCTATGTTGCGAAGGGGCGTAACTTGAGCAAAAGAACAATGCTTAGATCTCGCCCCTGAACATGTGCAGGTAGTCGGCCAAACTCTCACAATGATTGTTTCTATTGATTGCCGTGCAGTAAGTTGATAAAAGCAGAGCAAGCGGCATAGCAATTGTTTTCAATGTTTTCATTAAGTTTAATGATAACTTTCTAAAAATATTCTCTACTCGGAATTGTAACAGCTAGCTCCTGATCAACCTATATATTACAAACAGAATAATTATAACCAAAAAATGAGTCTTTATTTCTCGACAAGGAGATCATCTAGCTGCTGTTTTCTCAATTCTGCCTTTATCTCCTTGTCCCTTACTAGCGTATAAACAATAAAGACTTAATAAAATAACTTATTAGCATTTGCCTTTGAGCATCAGCTATTGCTCAGAGCTCGATGATCTTGATCGTTCTCTGGCTTATTTGCAACATATATTGTTCAACGAGCAATTACGTGATGCTGTAAACAACAATTAGATTGAGGTAATGTTATTTTATAAAATACATCACTACGGCCATATTTCAACTCCACAGCTCTTGTGATTTTTTCTTAAGGGCTTCCATCACTGTGAAACAAATTTAATACTTAAACTTACCTGGTTGCAAAAGTATCAGTTACCAGAAAGACCAGCATGTCAGATTATCAGCAGCAGATGTATTAATTTTATTCTAATAATCTATTTGAGATGCTTTTTGCGGAAGCCAATGGCTTTCCAAACATAAACCTTGAGCTGTGCCAATCCAGCCAGCAAAAGGGACGGTGCAATCACCTTGAGAGTATTTCAGAAGATGTGATGCATCACTTGTCAATAAAAGCTTATTATGCAGACATTAAAAGGGTGTATGCATACATCTATATAAGGGATTATTTGCATTAGTAGTTTAAAGTTTAGATTTCTTACAAATAATAGTAAAATAAATAAATAAATAATAACTAGCCACTTGCTTTAAAATATTACTGTGCACGTTTTGCAACATACTTATATCTAATTTATTTAGACATCAATTGGAATATGCCATTGTTGCGGAACCCGGAAGGGGCGGCGCTTCCACCCCCCGGACCCGGGGAGGGGATGTCCCTTTCCCCGATATGCGGGGTTCATGCGGGGAAAGGGAAATGCTTCCCTCCCGATCAGACAGGTCTCGATCAAGGGCGCACAATGCGCTATTGTCAACAAGGGGATCTGTACGCCCCGACAATAGATCCAGAGTCATCCCTTTGGCAGCATTGTCCCCGCAAGCTCAAGAGCGCTCAGACAATAGCGCAGGAGCGCGTACAATGGAGCGAGCCACTTTCCCTGTAACTCCAAGGATTCGTATTAGCAACAATTCTTTTATATTTAAACAGGAGACCCACGACCGACTTGGTCAGGGTTCTCCTTAGAACTAAATAAACTTCTAAATCTTTTAACATCTTTCTTACAATGACACTTCTCTGCCGCGTGTCTTATATTAGCTTTTAGATGGCACTTTCTCTGTCGGCCTTTTAACAAATGCAACACCATCATGGAGGATTGTGGCGAGACACTTGAGCAGTATACCAATTGCTGTTGCAAGTCTTTTGAGTTTAACCACAGTTCATCTTATGCAAAGATGGTGGAGGTAATTGGTTCTATATCCAATTGCCTTGCTATTGCCTATTCAGCAGGAGTCTTGCTGTCACGCGCATTAATCAATCAGCGGGACACATCAAGTCCCTGCGATCAGCGGGTAAACATTACAGCTATTTAAAGTTTCAGTTACCGAGATCTTAGTAATGAAACTTTAGTTCGTTTTAATCGTTTCACTAGTAATGTTTTTTTGCTTTACTATTATTTTCAACAAGGTTTTTTTACCAAATTGCAGATATAATACTGATTATATTGGAGTTTCTTGTTTAACATGTTTAACATATTTTCAATATTTTGTAACACAAATAATAAATAAAGCAATAGATGTTTGTATAATATTAACCAATAAATTGACACATTAACAAAACAGATTACTGACGAAATTCATGCAAATTAAAAAAGCTGACATTATTTATGAGATTGGCATCTTAACATATAGTTAACATTCTTACAATAAAACATAATAATTAAAGGTTACTACTATGTTTCTGATAGAAATAGAGTTTATTTATTAAAATGTTGGTTATTAATGTTAAAAGTTGTATTACTGTAAAGAAGAATAAACTATAAAGTAGGCAATATATTTGAATCCCCGTGAAAAGACTAAGGAAACATTTAGAAAGAAAACATAAACGTGCTAAGTGTTTAAAGTAAACACCTTTCCCACTATGACGTCATAAGTGAGTTCTGCGTCTAATCGTCCTCACAATTACAACAATTTAAATTACTAGAAAAAGCAATGTGTGTAAAAAACAAACTAATCATATATAACAGTTGTTGGTAAATGTATTATAAAACAAATTAGTTTAAAGTTTTACTTGCATATATGGCATAATAACCAGTAATGCTCTCATAGCTCCTGTCATTTTTTTTGATTTATAATCATTTGTACTATTTGTGCATTTGCCACAGAGGCATTATCCCAGGGCTGCAGGTCTGCAGTTTACTGCAACTTTTTGTTTCATGGGCCCTGTTGTATTTGTGTCTGCAGCACTGCTATTGCCAACTTCACTAGAACCTTAATATATTTCAAGCTCTCTGAAGTGCTCAGCTACCCAATTCTTCTCTGCTGTCTATAAATCAATTTCTACTGTACTTTCATTTCTAGCTGACAGTGGTAGACTTCCTACAATTAATTAAGCACATACATACATTATCC